TGCTGATCTTGATAATATCGAAAAGCGGTGCTAGTTTCGCGATGTATGGGCGGCTCAAGGCGCCAGTGGGATCTCCCACAACATCGCGCTGGTAGTAAAACGCTTCCTGGACAGCACGCATATATTCTCTCTCGAACATAGATTCGTACTGCTGGTGAAGCATCTTGTGAGTGTCGGCTGCTACCTTGGCAATTGCTGGCACTGTAGACGTCTCCAAGGAGACGAGCACACCGGCACACTCTTTGGGGTGCACTAGACCTTGACGGTTGATGCTTGCTATCAATTCAATCGCCGTCAAAGCATAGGAATCCTGCCGTGATTGCGCAACTTTAAGCATGTTGTGAAGGAAGTGCTGCGCAATTAATGCCGCAGCGCCATCATTGTCACTAGCCTTGAGTGAGCCTCCCAACCTTGTTGCTTTCTCTTGTTCTGCAATCTCGGCAGCAGCCACCACAGACTTCTCTGCCTTGCCTTCGTGCATTGCAAAGAAATCAGCAAAGGACCTGAGTACTATGTTCTGCAGACTTGGGTTGTCTTCCTTGAAGACGCCCGAGAGGACGTGTCTCGGGCCCTCGCGACCAAACTGCGCTGGCCAAGACTGACAGACGGATCCCAGACTCTCAAGCGACATTACCCTTAGCTCAAGCGGCTGCTTAGGAAGGGTAAATGGTATGATAGAGTCCACCATCAAGCCAGCCACCGATCCTCCGTTCCAAGATGGAAAGGCGGCTCTAAAATGAGGCTCGTATTTTTCGAGATCACAGTGCCTTCCAACGCAGCCGGCGATCCGAATGTAGCTCTTGGCTCTGGCCAACACTGCACTATTAGTGCTATCCGCGAGGTCGATGTTCTTGTAGTGCTGTATGGGTTTCAGCACCGAGATCGTGAGCTTCACAAGCCGATCGGTATTATTCAAAACGCCATTGATGGTCCAAAGACAAGCCATAACCTCATTAAGTTCGGAGCGAGCAAGCTTGGCAACGCTCTTGAATAGGTCGTTCTGCACCTCTTTCAAAAGAGTGTTATGAGCCGACGACAAGTACGGCAGCACACAACGATAGATGACGACCACAGACCGAAATAGGAACAAATCCTCCGCCGTAGCCAGATGTCCGATGTAAGGATGAAGCGTCTCCAACTGATCGGGACGAAACAGCTTCGCATTGGCTTTCGCAAACACGGTAATTGTCTGCAGCAGCGCCTGCTGGAAGTTTTTGCCAGAATCACTGTCTTCGACAAGTCTTTCAAACATGGTAGAGACCATGGCTTTACACACCTTGAAATTAAGAGGTGCTGACTTTGAAGTGTCGGCCATAATCTTCCTCAGACAATTACCCAAGGTTTCAAGCGCCGTGTCGCTGCGTTGAACGAGATCTACGATCAGAGTGACGCGTTCACCAAGGCCCACCTTGAGCATTGAGTTGTCCTGCGCAGAGTCTATCAAGTCGTGGAAAGGCGTAAGCCATATCTCCTCAAATGTCTGGCGAGCCAAGGTGGCAACGCTTTCCTCCTGATCACCTGTCCGCTGCAAGAAGCTGTCCACGATAGCTAGCTTTAGTTCAATGCGTGATGTCTTCAGATAGACGTCCTTAAGCAGACCAATGCAGCGCTTTCGCACACCTGCGGTTGGATCGGCAGCACATGCCAGAATGCTCCTACAGCCTTCTTCCTCAAGTTTCGGCTTCAGGACCATGCATTTGGCGATCAAAGACAGCGCAGAATCGCGCACCATCGGAGATGCGTCTGTCGTACAGCGTAGAATCACACGCATGACCGAGGCATCTCTGTCGAGAAGACTGGGGTCCTTCTCAAGCATGTAAATAACACTCTTCAGACTGCGACTTCGGACCTTAGCCTGATCACTCGCGATCGAGTTGAGTAAAACTTTTAAAATTGTATCAAATGCCTTACAGAATCCCGAGTTCAGGACCGTCATCGTGTAAGCAAATCGACCATGTGCTGTAGGAATGTTGTCAAAGTGTCTAGAAAGGTTAGCGATACGCCCTCGTCCAATGCGTGCCTTTTATGGGTCCCTCACCGATGAGTTTCGAGCCACCGCGGGTCAGACATCGACCTCATCAAGAGTTCCACCAGAGCTTCATTTGCATCATCATTTGCGAGATCATCTTTGTCTTCCGAGTTGTAGTATACTGAGCAAAAAGTCTTGGCCCATTGCGCCAAATAATATCCCCGGGCACTTGTGAGCTGCCAGTTGCCTGAGCTGCGGTCCTGAATAAGATACTCAAGAGTCATTCGATAAGGACCCTCAGCCACGACGAGTTCCTGCGGGTGTAAAGCGCGATTCGAATAGTCTTCGAACATCTGCCTCAAATCATCGGTGAGGCCACTATCCGCTTCTTCCATAGCTGGAAGCAAATGCTGGGCAGTCGCTATGAGGTCAGAAATTGCCGATCCCATCCAACCTAGAAGCTCAAGCGCCATGCTCTTCGCGGTCGCAGAACTCTTATCGAGATCAGCGATGCCAACCATATGAGAAGCCATGATCCGGAGAAGAAGTTCCGCAGCCGGCCAATCTGTAGAACCCAGGACGCTGATCAAGTCCTCGGTGAAAAGGTCGAAGATATTCCGATATGGCTGGTCCCCAGTCTTGGTAGAAGTCATTGCCCGTTGCACGATAAACTTCACAATATATTGAGCACTTCGGACGGCATTATCATATAAGCGATTGACTTTCGTTGCAAGACGCTCCAGGGACACATCCGAATCCTGATCATCATCTTCCTGACCGCCTCCTGCAAGCTCCTCGTCTTCGTCTTCGTCCTCGTCGTTATCAGTCGAACCTGGCAACTTCCGCTTCATCCTGGAAGACTTGGAGCTGGGAACATCTAAGGCAGTCGTTTGTACCAGCTGCATTACCAATGCAGTGAGAAGCTGGATATTCTTGCCATCGGCAAGCTTGAACTGCCTGGCACTCTGTCGCGTGGAAGGTAGTTTCTCTAAGGAAACTAATATCTCATCTAGGATATACGGCCGCTGAGCAGGATACTTCGAGAATATCTTTGCCAGAACGTCCATTGCTCCCCGCCTGACCGACTCATACTTCTGATAGCCGACAGTGGAGTCTTTTTCAGTATGAGCATTCTCCACAAAGATCAGTTTGGCTGCGAAGTACTCCGCTGCATTTACTGTTCCTTCGGATACTTCAATGCGAGCGAGGAAATCAGCGAAAAGGGCAAGGACTTTCTTGCTGTGTTGAATGAGCGCGCCCAGCACCCGTTTCTGCGCCGAGAAGAATTCGAAGTACTTCGCATCTTTGCCTCCAGGACGTGCTTGAACGGCAGGGATAACACAGTGATCAAAAACCTGATTGAAGACGTTGGGGATTGCTTCAATTAGGTCTTCTGGGCATAGATCCCGCTCCGTTTGAGAACCAGACATGGTCTGCAGCAAAGTTCCCACCGCAGACAATGCATTGTACATATCATCCAGCTTTCTAAGATAGTCCTGGGTGTCCGACTCATTTGACGGATCGTCTAGTCTCAAATCAGGCGACTGCGCAGCAATGATGGGCTTTTCACAGAGCTTTTGGGCCCTGTTCAGATATTCTGAAGGAATGTCTTGAAGCCGATTGAAGCTTATGACCTTCTTAATAGCCTTTTGCAGCCGCGTATGAGTATCTGATGACAGAACTAGCCCGTTCACGTCCAGCGCGTGAGCTGCGACGAACATCGAGTTGGAATGCTCAGTAGTCCCTTCTGACAATGTCCCCGGATCAAGCTGATCCTCGGCCTCGAATATCTCCTGAAACAGATCCTGTAGCTTGACAAGAGCCGCATCCGCCTCTTCTTTCTGGTCTTTCAACCGGATTGATCCAAGATTATCACCCCCATCTGCATTGAGTTTGCGCCTCTTTGAGGCAGTATGATCGTCGGTATGAGATGGCAGCGGTTTCAAGGGAATCACTACCGAGAGCTGGGTGGCTTGAGAAGGCTGCCGATTCTGGGGAGGAGGGGTTGGTTTAATTGGGAGAGGTGTCTTTTCTTTCCGGGACGTAGGCTTCTGCGAGACATTCATGTCGCCGGAGTTTGGATCTAATGACTGTCAGTACGAGCGCATCTTGCGATTGAGTAGATGTTTGAGCTCCATACATCTAAATGCGATGTCCGTGGCGTCCAGCATCATTTGAGCAAAGGGACTAAGCTTGTTGTTGCTGGAAACCTGGTCCTGAACGGTAGTTGAAGGGGGGGGCTGAACATTTCCAATGCCAGGTGGCAGTTTGAATTTGCTATGAAGTCCAGTGAGTCTTTGTTGTGTATACCAAGGGTAATTTTCAGCTCACAATTCCGTTAGCTGGTCACCATCCAACAACTGCTGCAGGTACTCCCGAGATGTCTCCAGACGGTTCGACTCATCGCGTCCCGATCGGATCTCGTTGTTCAGATCGCTCAGAGCAGCACGGCCAGACTGAACAATATGATTGATAGAGGTGGTACTAGGGGGTCGCCCCACGTCAGGACGTAGGATGCAATCTAAGGAGAGACGGATAACTATCAGTTTGAGCTCCTTTGTCGCTCAGATGCTATATCACACTGACCTAACCCAAATATCGGTGCGCTGGACATAGGAGAGTACTGCAGAGCTTCGTTCACATACAAAGGCCTATTCCAAGCCCGAGCTTGCCCATTCGGGCCCAGAGGCTGCGCTTGTGGATGGCCATTGATGACGACCTGAACGGCCGGGTGCCAATTCTGAGCCATAGCAGCGGGATACCCGAGTGGGAAATAGGGGTCGGTGTGACAGGAGGGTTAGAACAGCGGAGGAAGACATGCTCTATCCAGAGACATGGCTATCTGTCAAGGAAATGAGGGATCATTCCAAAAAAGGAAGATGCTTTTACTCCAACAGATCGCAATACAAACTGATGCAATAATTAATGCCAGGCACGGTTCTCATGCCGCTGCCGCTGCTGACCGCCCGGGACTAATGTAGTGCTGGCCATGGGAAGTGGTCCGTGCAGTGGAAATCTTTCCGGAGGCCGCTTTCCCTCGCAGAAAAAAAAAAGTTGGAAGGCTCACAGATCAATACGGCTCACGACAAAGATTACAACATTGAACTACATATTCGACCAATATGTCGGCCATCGGATCCCTTGTTTTCTGCACTGATTGTGGCTCCTTGCTGGATGGCTCAATTGGAGATCCGAGCAAGATTCTGATCTGCGATATCTGCGGAGCTAAGAACAAAGGTAGAACGGTTCCCCCAAGTTGAGGAAATGTAAAAGATACCATGTTACTGACACACCTCTCTTTTGAATCAGACACTGTTCCTCAAACTATCGTGTCCGAATCCAAGCCCAGTGCTTTCCCCTCATCTCTCCGGGCAAAGCGATCTGCTGTTCAGACTTTGACTGCAGAGGACAGAAAGACGGAAGCCCTTGCCCAGCACACATGCGCCCAGTGTGGTAGAAAGGAGATGTACTTCACGACAGTACAATTGCGCAGTGCCGATGAAGGAAGTACAGTCTTCTACACGTGTGTTTGTGGTTACAAGTAAGCCAAATCCCCTGCTCGCGCATTCCGAATAGTCCAGGGTCATTGACCACTTTCTACAGGGAGACGACAAACAACTAAAAAGCAAAAAATCATGACGTCTATTTTTTGGCCCTTATTTGTACATCTATGAGGCACGAAAGCAACTATTTACCGACACTGTAATATCATTGTTCGCATAATTCATCAAATCAAGCAGACACCGCAGCAGGGGCAGCCGAATCTGGCACCAGGGCGTATTCGACTTCTCCGCTCTTCTCGAATTCCGCCATATCAAGCGCCACGATGATGCTGTCTCTCACCACCTGCTCCGGATCGTTCAAGAACTTCTTCAATGTATCCTCGACACCGTCCACATCGCCCAAGCTGCCAAGGGCTTCCGCGGCTTCGTGTCGCACCATGCCCATCTCTGCTTGATTGCTCAGGCACTCCGTAAGGCAAGGCACGGAGGCAGGGTGGCACAGTTGGCCAAAGACGAATGCAACCTCGTGACGGAAAAGAGCGGAGGGGTCCTTGAGACCCTTGGCCAGCGCATCGACAGCCTCGACGGCCGTGGGCAAGTCGGGAGGGGAGGCAAGGTCGCGCAGTGCGAACATGGCGCGATATCTCTGGAACAGAGGAAGTTTCGTGTCGAGCAGGGTCTTCTCCAATTCGGGAATGGAAGGTTGCTCGGTAGCCATGGGAAGTGGCGGAGCAGGGTCGATGGAAGTGAAGTCACTATTTGTTTCTCGACAATTAGCGCGCTCAATACATCTATGAAGAATTGATAGACTTCGAAATTGCGTAGACTTACCTAGGCTTCAACTTCTCGGCCTTTCTCTCCTCGGAATTCTCCCAGATAATGCGATCCACCGCGATGTCGCAAGTCTCGCGGATAACATCGAGCTCCTTCTCGTTGTCTCTCAGAGACTTCAAGATCTCCAGACTGTCCTCATAACCGAGAGCACCGAGAGCTTCCGCAGCCTCGTGGCGACACATGGCATCTTCTTCCGTGTCCTTCAGGACCTGCTGGAGGTACGAGACGGCGTCAGGGTTGCGGGTCTGCCCAAGGCAGTAGGCAAGCTCATGCTTCAGGAGAGCCGACTTAGACGAAAAGCCAGCAGCGATGGCCTGGATAGCAGGCAGCGTCTTCTCAGTGGGTGGTTGCAGGCAAGCGAGGTACTTGAGGGAGAAAAGGGCGCGGAACCGACGAGCGAGGGGCTCGGACTCGGAGGTAAGAACCTTGCGCAAGGTGAGGACGGTCTCGTCGACGCCCTCCAGATTATCGTTGGCAGCAGAAGACATGGTGATTATGAATTAAAGAACGTATTCGAGAAGGCTGAAAAGAAGGGGGGGGGGTATTGTTGAAGGAGAATAGAGGGCAGAGAGATAGTCGATCATGAAAGATGGACAATTTTTCGATCTTATCACTACCCGATAATAAATTTTAGGTGGGGGGGCGGGGTGCCAGGGCCGTGGGCTAGGCGTCTTTTGCTTTAAAATCTCTCCAAGCCACCACCACCACGATCCGGATCGAAACGTGCCGGTAGGCACCATCCTTCACCTGCAGCGGGACAGATCTTATCTCTGTTGAAATGCTCCAGGAAAGCGCAATGAGGGGACATATGACTAGATTTAGAAGTAACAAATAGATCCATGTATAGGCAGACAATGTTCATGTCAACTTCCGGCACAAAATATAAAGCTATGTTCGCACATACATACGGCAGACACAGAAGGTTTCAACAGTTGCGCTAGTGCTTTCGCGCAAAACACCGATTTGTACTGTTTTAATACCACAGCTGTATATGTAGATTGCTAGGGTTGTATCAATCAGCTACGGTGAGTGTTTCTGTTCAACCTGACATGATAGCTTCCATTTCATAAATATACCTTTAAGAGGAACTCATGTTAGGCCAAGATACTCTTGAATTGGTATTTATTATGGGGATCTAGTCAGACTACTGTTGCGTAGTGAAACCAGTGCAATGCAGTGACTCGCAATGAAGCATTGGGGGTCTAAAAGGGTTGTAGCGTGAGCAGAGACAGAAATCATAAGGGGGATATATGCCAGCATGCGGAGAGTAAGATCTTCAGACCGAGAATGCTGATGTGACCCAATTGGGCCTATAGCATCTGGTTACTCGAACCTCTGTAGCATATGGACACTGAAGGGACCATTGAAAAGGCCGTATCCTAGCCTGGTCCATGAGTAGGTGCCATGCCAATCACCGCCTTCTGGAAGCCACCTCTAGTGATGCAAGAACCTCCCCAGTGACAAAAACAAACCATAGACTTGAAAGTGTAGGGAGGGTAAAGTGTTGAAAACAATGTAATTAACCTCCAAGCATGATTCAGAACTAGAACAAAAGCCTGCACTTATGTACACGAGACGCGAAGAATAACTCAATTTATTTGGTCTTGATGTGCTTGAGCTTCTTCGGCTCGTGGAGGAAGTTGTTGGAGTACGACTTGGGAACGAACCGGCGCTCATTGGGCTCCTGAACGAAGTACTCGTAACCTTGCTTCTGCGCAAACAGGATGGCGTCCTCCTTGCTCTTGAACTTGAGGTTGGTACCCTGCATGCAGTCGGCGGAAGATTGCCAGCCCATCAGAGGGTTCTCCCACCGGTGGCCCTTCTGCAAGATATCCCAATCCATTCTCCAGTGGTGACCGTGCCAGGTTCCAGACTGAGTAGCGGGCTTCGTGGGGCGGTAGATCCTGTATCCAATTAGTGCGCGGGAGCACGGCGACCGACGAAGTTACTCACCGAACGGTACGAGCCTGCAGATCGGTGGGAGCGCCAGACAGAACAGCGGCAGCGACGGTGTCACCGGGCTCGCTGCCATCCATGACACGCTTGGGCACAGGGGAGAATTGCCTGGATTGTCATCAGTCGATGTATATTCCCCAGATCGCCACGGAAGGGATCTCACGAAGTAGCGTGATCAATGGTGGCCTCGTAATCGGGCTGGTGACGGGCCATTGCCTGCGAAGGACTCTCCTTGCGGATCAATGTGCTGTCTTTGTGAGGGATGGTCGGGGCATCAGCAGGGCTGGTCTTGACGGAGCCGTCGGCGGTCGACACAAAACGGGCATTGACAGGCGCGGCGAGCCTGCCAGCGCGGAGGCAGGCGAACCTTCCTACTCTCGCAAGCGACATGATGGGTATGTGTGTGTGTGTGTGGTCTGTGGAGGGGACAGGTGAAGGAGTCGCTGCGGGAGGACAATTGCAAGGTGAGGTATGCGGCGAGTGCCGGTTGTTCAGACAAATCCGAATTAGGACTAGCGCAATAATGAGGCTCCCTGCGTTAGGAACCGCTCATCCGACAACCCGCTTTCTGTTGGCACTTCTCTCTTCTCCCCGTCAGTATTCATTGTCCTAGTTAACCTGCTAGCGTCAAGGTAAGTCGACTGTTCCGAGACCGACCCATTGTTTATCTTATATGTCCTGGTACGGCTTGAACTTTTTTTCTGATGCGACCTTTGGGTAGATCCTTCAAGATGAGCTACATCGCCCGCCGCGGTCTTTCGACCCTGATCCCTCCCAAGGTAAGACCCGACCGAGCACAGTCAGAAAACAACATGATACCTGGGCAAATTGAATGCTAAAAGTTGCTTAGATCGCTTCCCCTAACGTGAGAACCCCTACTGTCTCGTTGTCTGCCTTCCTTCCGAGACGCAGCCTCCAGAAGCAATCTCTTTCTTGCTCTGGTCACCTCGGCTGAACAACCCGCACACCCACCCCTTCCCCGTCACCACAGCTAACAATTTGAAAAGGCGATCGGTGCCGCCAAGGATGCTGCCCGCATGGACCGTGTCGTGAACTTCTACGCCAGACTTCCTCGCGGTCCCGCCCCTGAGGTCAAGGCCACTGGCCTCATTGGACGCTACCAGGCTCGCTACTTCACCGGAAAGAACCAGTCTGCTACTCGTTAGTGACCACTCACCTTCTACTGTACGATACATCAGACTGACACCGCATGTCATATAGCCTTCATCCACGCTATTGCCGGTATCCTTCTCCTCGGCTACAGCATGGAGTACTACTTCCACCTCCGTACGTCTTCTGAGCTCATTGACGGTGTGCGATACAAGAGCGCTAATTCTTGAGCAGGTCACCACAAGAACCACCCCCACTAAACGACTGGTGTTTGATTTACCGGACGGGCGAGGATTTGTGTATATACCACACCCTCTACAATGAAGACAATGTAGAACATCACCTGGATCATTGTACCATTTATCAATTCAGAACCATTTTTAGCAAAGGAATTCCACCCCTGCGTCCTGTCATATTGATGTACCCGACTGTTCACAACTGTTGAAGTATTCCAGGCAGACAGCCTAGGTCGTTCTCTTGATAGACACTAAGTGGACCGACAATTAGTCCTGGGGCATGTGCCGCAAGTTGTGTGTAACTGTTCTCAAAACGCCCGTATCAATAGCCAGTTTAAATCGATGGGACATCTGTTCGTCTCTGCTTTTGGCCTTGTGAATGCTGTATTGAAGCAAATTTGCCAATAGGATCGGGCATACGCTACAGAGGCCGAACGACATGGCTTAACCTTGTATAGAGACTTCTCTTCTTAGATGCTAGTGACCATTCTTTGCAGCATTGCCATGCATTCTGCTCAATTAGCTGGCAACGCCCAAGTGATATTACTGAATGGATGAACAACTTCCTTGAATGGCTTAGCAATCATCTCAACATTGTATCACCCCACAGCTCCCTTCCTGCCCATGTTGACCGCTCTTGCTTTGACAGCTGCCCTAGCCAGCATGCACGACAAGTCTCCGTGAGTGTTACATCGCATCACGCTTAGGGTATTTGCAATGGAATGCAGATGTTGATTCGGGGGTCGAGGACCTCACGAATGTGGCTGAGAACCAGCCTCACTTACCTCTTAAATGGTGGTGCAGTTTATCATTTCATTCTCTTTCGGAGAGGATACTTCCGTCGGAGAGGTGAACACGAATCAGACCAGAGGGACATGATAGCTACTGTTGGAACCAACAGAACGGTCTCAAAGCCACGATGTCATCAGGAACCGATTGTGTTCTCATGCAGATTTCGGGGGAGAGGGAGGGGAACGACGGAACGACCTGGGCGGCTGCACTGCCACAGGTGGCTTGACATCATGCCCGTGCAGGTTCCATCCTAGCTGACATGAATCATGTCCGACCAAAAGACTAGGAAAGCTGCCTTGGGTTGCAATAACACCCCTTGCTAGCGCCGTTGAAAGCAAACAATAGGCGCCTTGTCATGAGGCTCGTGGGAGCCGTGCGAATCAGGAAAGAAGGTTGAGAAGCAAAGGCCGAGGGGCGAAGGCGAAAGAGAAAACAAAACAAAAAAAACAAAAAAAGAGGAAATGAGGAGGCTCTTCAACACCATTTCCCTTTTTCATTACTCGTGCAATTTTGAGGTACCAGAGAACACAAGCTTACTTGTCAAAGCTTGCTGGCTGCCATCACGGTTGCAACAGCTGTTACGTATGACAGAAGGTTTTGGGTCTTCCGTCTGCTCCACTACTTTATCCTGACTTACGTTATGACCGTAAGCATCTATGATGTCCTGGGTTGATTCTAGGTCTACGCTCAATTGCTGGGAATTGTCAATTCTGGCCAGAGGTACTATGCAGCAGTTATCAGTGGCGCAGCAGGGCCTAGAGTAATTAGTGCTCTTTCACAAAATGATGGGGCGTCGGACACTCCAGCTGAGAGAGTCCGAGACTTGTGACCTTCTTCTCATCCTTCCAGCCTTCCTCAAGCAATTGATTTGAGTTCCCAGGTTTCCTTGACCCAGGTACGGCAGTGAAGCGGTGCTCGGGCTCAGGGCACTCAGTAATTCGATCTCGGATCCTTGACGCCTCACCTGCTGATAAGAGGTCTTGCATAGTCCCGGATATATTGTCTAGGCTTTCAGTCTATGCATTTGGGTTATTCGCCTCTTTGATTGGGTACTGTAAGATTGCTGCATGGTGTTTCTCTGAGCTCTGTTGGGCAGAGTCCATGCAATATGGTCTAATTGCAACAGCGCCCATCTCCTGCAACCTGCAGTTGCCCGGGTATCACAAGAGTCTAGATATTGTCGCACCACTCCTAAAGACTAACATTACAATGACAGTATTCAATTATAAGGTACGCTCACTGATTAATAATCCAGCGTGCTTAAGCAATTCGTCATTCAATTCTTTTGAATGGGTGGCTTAACTCTGCACGAAGGTCCGCCTGTGTACCTGACACCGGTCAACCTTTAGTGTAAGCATTTCAAAGCCTTTTTGCTTTTTATCTTTTAGGAACGTCTAGGCACCGTTTGAGCAGGGGTACGAATGTCTGCCTGTCAACCTGCATGTCGCTCTCCCTAAATGGCCACCAGCGGGCGTCGCTGCGGGCAAGGCTCCGAGATGGCCCTGGGCTAAAGGACTGAGATTAATTGTCCGCTTGAAATTAGCCACGCAACGTCATGGCATTTCGATCTTTCTTCTAGGGATAACCTACCTACATACCGCTTTTCGAGGGAGGGACAAGCGTCAAGTTTAGATGATACCTGACTTGGCCTGCTAGAAACAGCGATGCTTTATATATGATATGCTATCCTCCCAAGCTTCTATATTCTTCTGAGATCCTTGGTCTATTCTGGCTGTATTGAACTGTGTATGCTCAACATAGGAACCCCTTTGAGTGGGCTACTTTTGTCTTACTATACCCCTGACCTTTTGGTGCTTGTGAAGAGCCAGGTACCGCTTATTTTCATCAATATAAGCCTTGCTTTATTTCCTATTTAAATCTCTTCCAAACTCCCGGTCTCACAGGGTGCCTCATTGACCTCTTGACTCTGATTTGTTAGCCTGTCTTGCGCCAACAGCCTTCTGTGTGGACATGAACGACGATTCGAGCAACAACGATGCGGCCCATATACATTTCACTTATCCTGATTATCAACACCATGTAAACCATGGCCATCTTATTCCTGCTGGACCCTCTGGAATACATTCATTAGTTTGTTATCCCAAGCTGACCTTCATATTCGAACTCGGTCTAACTTCAGTGTTCAGCAGCAAAGCCCCTTATCAATTCCCTCCTTCGGATCTCCTTCGATCAGTATAAGTCCCACGGAGGATGCCATTCGTCATGGGTTGGACATTCCTCTATTCTACGACCATTCCACCAATTATATAGATGATACTCAACCTTTATTTGACAACGCGAACCCTCTTCCAAGCACAGAGACCGACGGTACAGGTTTTGATCCGCTGTACTTTGCGCCCGCGCCTGCACCTCAGGCATCGAACGAGATATACCAGGATGAGTTCAAGCTTGCCGTGGAACATCTCATCAACATGGTTCGGACCGACGTCTTACAACGCCAGATCCCCCAGCTGCATGATGCCAAGGACTTCCTGCAAGTAACTTGGCACAGACTGGACAGCATGATTCAGCAACAAATTAACATATCCGAGAGATTAGCAGATACTGGTCCCAGAACCAGTAACTTCCGCTGCCAGCTTTGCCCTAGTGGACAGCGGAAGGTCTACAACACGCGGGCCTCATTCAGACGTCATGTGGCCTATGAGCATGCCCCACGGTCTATCTATCGTTGCCTCGATGACAAGTGCCTTTGGACGACGAAGAGGAAGGATAAGCTGCATTCACACTTAAGACACAATCACGGATTTCAATGGCGGGCCACTCGCGAGCAAATCAACATAGTCGAGACTAAGATGCCGCCACCTCGTGTCTGTCCTCTGTGTCAGAGTGCTGTTGATTCCTGGGATGAGTACTTTAAGTGTGTGTGTGAGCATAGTCGCGTGGCAGGAGCTGGCTCGGCAAGCACCAGCGCCAGCCAGAGTCGCCGGAACAGCGATGACCGTGGCCAAGGCAGTGGCGGCTCTAACTACAATAATTTCCAATTTCCTGGCAGTGAATTTGGGGCAAACAATGGCCAGTCATCCTCTGGGAACGGCAACCATACGGGCTCTACCTTTTTCAGCACTGGGTACCGCCAGAGCCAGCATACACATCAAGCGACACATAATGTGAGCGACCTCGCGCCAGCGACTCTGACGGGCCTAAACCCGGGTGTGGTCTCTGGTGATGGACCATTATATCTTCCAGACGTTGATGGGCCGCGTTCCGAAGAAAAGACATCTCCCGGACCAACAAGTCTTACAAGTCAACATTGGTCGATGATGAATGCTACCAATCCAACCACATGCGGCCCACACAATAAGGGAACTGTCTCCGAGATCCACAAGTCTCACATCAACACCTCTGGGTCTGAGGAACATAAGAGAAGGCCCTGCTCAGAGGAATCGCTACAGAAAAAATTTCATGCTAGAGGTCAAGGAGAGCTCCACCATGAGCAAAATGAGGAACGGCCCGAGAAGAAGTGCACCACCTGTGGACATGTCTTTGACAATTGCTCTCGATGTCGACGATCAGAAGCGCTTTCCGAAAAATGCCACCAATGTGTAGATCGGACCGGCAACAGAGCAGGTCTCCAAAAAGCGTACATCTGGCGAAGCCGTGACCAGGCTCCTGATGTGAACAGACAGGATGCCCTGGCACACTCCGTCACCGACACAACTCGGTCGCTGCCATTGAAAAATATTCGGATAAGATCTTCTGATCTTCTTCACGCTATGGGTGCTTCCAAAGAATGTCGACCTTCTGAAGTTTCTTCGCTGAAACGTGAGCCCACCATTTACCCAGCTCGTAGCCGAACCAGGCTAGATGGCGGAAGCCACGAGCCTTGCACCACACAACCGCTGTCTTTTCTAAAATCAATACTTTCGATTGATACCGATGTGGTGATTTCGACGGAAACCCTTTCCAGGAAAGACACGGCAGTTGCCTTGCACGCCCCGGGAAGATATCTGCCAGCAAAGGTGCAAGATCAATCGACACCCGAAGCAATGGCTAGACTACACCAGCGCCGCGCCGGTCAAAGAGCGACGCCTTTCATGGCTCGCAACCAGAGGCTGGTATCCTTCGATGACGAGAAGATCGATATCTGCGACTCAAACTCGTGGGTGCCACATGAGAAGACACTAACTCTCAATTACCTGGACCACGCGGTGCTGCATGTGATGTACAGTTCTCTATCTGAAATGATCCTCTATGGTATGTGTCTCGTACACCCAGCCTTCCACGCCTATAGACCATGAAGTGGTTTATGTGCTCACTATTCCACAGAAATAAAGATCGAGCAAGGCACCCTGGTCGAATCGATGGGTGTGAATGTCACTCGTCGCTCCTTGGGCTGGCTGTGCAAGCCGTCTAAACAGAAGACGGGCCTTCCTCAATTGACCAAGAAACGAGTTGCTAAGAAGAAAAGTACCACAATGTTACGAGCACGGCTCCACATAGTTGTCGAACTTCTTGCACTCCACGCAATGGCCATCAAACGACGGTCCCAGAGGAAGTGTTGGACTGACGGCACTAATCCAGCTAAAGTCGTCGATCGGTCGATTTCTTGCACCTTAACTGAGATGGCAAGCCCGGATGATGTGGTCTCCCCGCTCTTCGACGCTGTCGTAATGTGGGACACTTTTGCGATGGTGAATATCGTATCCTCTTGGATCGCAACTGTCGTCCCCGACACTGAAGGGCAGGTGGAATTGATGCTGTTAATGTGGTCGTATATCTATATCATTCTCAACGGCAGCCCGATCACTCTTCGGCTACAGAGCTAACATTCATGACAACAGCTGCCAACTCTGCTTCATGATGCTTCGGAAAGGGTTATGATTGGTATTGTCATGCGCCGCTTCTGTTTCACCTGCATCTATCCGCTTGTCGTACTATGCATGTTTCTTGTGTTGCACTGCTGAGATACCTTTCCAGATAGTGATAGTTCTCTCTTATCTTGCATTATTCATGTACCAAATCGAAAAACTTGAACTAATAGCAGTCAAAACATATTACCTAGAAGGAAGAGTAGGTTTACTACTGGGAGATGGACGCGGGCCTGCGGGGATAGGAGTTAACCGGCAATCTCCACCCGAGATGACATAACCGTATCCGAGGATCCGCCCTATCGATAAGCGTCGGTCAGCATGAGCAAACAACATCCCCCTCCTCTCTCCAGAAGCATGGGGCAAAGCGCGGCCTGCCCTCAAAAAGCACTAACCAGATTGCCGGCCAATTGGGGCCTCGTGGCTAGCCTTGCTCTGCAGTGACGAATTACCCGTTTAATTGGTAGGGTGTCTGATATGACCCTTGCTGTTTTCACCCTGCTCGCACCACCCTCTCAAACGTGTGGCTGATAATGAGTTCATCTGGTTCGCCCCCCGCTGCTGGCGGCGGTCCCCCCGGGTCTTCTCCTCCCTCTCACCAAGGTGCATCGGATCGAGGATGGCATCCGGCTCGGGAATGGCTTGAGGAAGACGAAGAAGACGAGTATGAGGATATGGACTATGAGCCCAATGAAACCGACGAAAGAGACGACGACGATTCCGATATTGAGCCGTATGATGACGAAGATAACGACGACGATTTAGACCACATCGATGTCGATGGTGCCCATCTCAGTACTGTTTTCCCCCTTTCCCATTTTTTGGTTGCGTTTATGTGCCAGCTCATTGAGCTTAGGAGTGTGTTGGCTGCCCTGGAGTGCACAACTGACTCGTTCTCGCTTTTCTGCCTCGTTGCATTTAGATCCTGAATTACATCTGGGAAATATTCAAATTGAATTCGCCATGGATGAGCCCGGCCAGAACGGGGATGGCGGAGAGAATCAGGGGACACGACAGAATAGAGGTAACACGATCTGATCTGGCTCGTTGATTCGTTGGGGAAAGCCGCTCAACTGATGGTTACAGTGTCTGCAGCTCGGCTGCTGAATTTATTGGCCTCCAACGGCTTGCGGCACATCCTGCACTACAACGGGCTGCATGAGACCTCCCCCGGGGAGGAGGAAGATGACGACTACGAGTTTGGCTTCTTTGGCTACCGTCGGCGAGCACGGCGATCCGGGGAAAGCAAATTCCCCAAGGTTCCCAGCGACGAGGGCCAGGATTTGATGAGATCGGGCGACTTTGGACGCGATACATATTACGTTGATCGGCTCAAGCGACGAAACCAGGCGCTCGCTTCGAAGATCATGTGGCGGGAACTCGGGGTAAACTTGACGGGGACAAATCGGCAGGATATCCGATCGATGGCGCAGGTTCGTATCCTTCCTGGAGACCACAAAAGACCTTCTGAGTGCATGCTAACCTTCGGCGTATAGGGGCTGATTCCCAGCTCCGTGGCGGACAAAGTCATCCATTTCGACTCTCGCTGCTACTCAGGCCAATTCTCAGACGACGGCAACTTCTTCTTCTGCTGTGCCCAGGATTTCAAAGTGCGAATGTACGACACTTCCAATCCCTTCGACTGGAAGTACTACAAGACTGTGACGTATCCATTCGGGCAATGGACTATCACCGATGCGAGCCTGAGTCCGGATAACAAGTTCCTAGCATATACGTCGATCCGGAATCTCGTCTGCCTGGCACCCACGGACCCGGCTGATGAGTCCGAGCCGGCTGTCCTGGATCTATCCTCGATACCTGGAAGACGACGGATGCGTTTCGGTGGGAATTCTCACTTTGGTGTAAGCTTGATCAACAACTGCCCATGGATGAGATCGTATGTACTCAAACTGCCATAGATTTGGTCGATTCGGTTCTCAGGCGACGGTCGCGAGATCGTGGCTGGCACTTCCGATCAATCCGTCATTGTCTACGACCTCGAAACCCGACAGTCGGTGTTGCGGTTACAGAATCACGAAGACGATGTGAACGCTGTTTGCTTTGGTGACCAGTCTTCTCCCCATATCATATATTCCGGATCCGATGATACAACTTTGCGGGTTTGGGACAGACGCTCGATGGGCGATGGGCGCGAGGCTGGTGTGTTTATGGGGCATACAGAAGGATTGACCTACGTTGATAGCAAGGGGGACGGGCGATACGTGTTGTCGAACGGCAAGGACCAGACGATGAAGCTCTGGGATCTGCGAAAAATGATGACTACGGCGAAGTTTGACTCGATCGATGTCAACACATTTACCACGGGATTCGACTACCGGTTCGAATCCTACCCTGATGACTACTATGAACCTCATCCTCACGACTGTTCGGTCGTCACCTACCGTGGCCACCGGGTCCTCAAAACTCTGATCCGGTGCCATTTCTCGCCGCCCAACAGCACCAACTCCCGATACGTATATACCGGCAGCGAGGACGGCAAGGTGTACGTATATAACATGGATGCGACGCTGGCGGGGTCGATTGACGTAGGGCAAGCCACTCACAATTCGCGCCCGCTGGACCCCGATATGTCGACTGCTGCATATGAGATACGTAGCAGCCGGAGCGATGTGCTGTGGAAGACCTGCGTTCGGGACGCGAGCTGGCATCCGAGCTGCCCAGCCGTGGCGGGTAAGTTCATGCATTGATGTCTATGACCGGTTGGGAATCAAGCTAACCGTGCCCTTCCAGCGACGTCGTGGAATGGCTGGGGTCTGTCCACTGGTACTTGCACCTTGCACACCTGGAACGATGGCGCCACATCCGATGAAGGGTCCCCTCCCTTAGCACGAAATTACGACAGCAAGTTGAATCCCGTGCCTGAATATGATGATTTCAAGCAGACGATGGCCGCGATGTCTCGCAGTCGGCCTGTTCAGAGATCTCCGCTGGACGATGAACTCGCATACGAATTATGGTAAATTATCTGGGGGTATATTATACAGAAGCAGGCAAGCGCACTATGCCATGGTGAAGTTGCTCGCTAAAAGCCGTTGTTTCATCTGATCTCGGAGCGCATGAGATTGTTTTGGAAATTTAGTGTGCTCCGACACGTAATCTACGAGACACAGATAGAATGCTCAGCAGCTATAGTTTAGCTTACTATATATTATATATTGAACGAATTGATGCGATAGGGTGTCATGCATGTACCATTTAAGCTCTGAATCAGCGTTAAATGACCATAGATCACATTCAACCAACAGAGATTGTTTCCACAGCCAATGCGATCGACAGATGTGAGGACCCAAGGACTCGAGGACGGAGGACCGGAGGGAGTCTGGGGTGTTTGGTGGTCCGCGGGCGGAGTTATACATCTGCCGCTCCGGGGCTGGAAAGCTCCACTTCCTGCGCCTTCGAGACCGCCCGCAGTTCCAGGCAAGCAGGCAAGCAAGCAAGCAAGCAAGCAAGCAAGCAAGCAAGCAAGCAAGCAGCAAGCCGAGCAACAAGCAAGCACAGCAGCAGCAGTCCGGTTGGTAGTAGTTAGCCTTCCTTCCCTCTCTTTCCTCTCTCTCCGAGTCTGCCTCCTCCCTCGACTACTTCGTACTTCTTCCATCCATCGCGCGCGCTCCACCTGCAACCCTTCTTTGGACACGTCTCAAGGAATCTTCTTCTTATTCTTGTCTCTTCTTTTAACTCTCACTTTCTTTCACCCTCTCAAATCCCCCCTTTCTTCTTTCTTCTTTCATCTCGCCCTCTCGCCACCCTGTGACTGCCCTATCAACCTGGTGCGCAACGACACCAGCGGATCACCACCCTTCTGCTAAGCTCACGCGCAGTTTGTTTCGGGATTCCTCCTGACTCACATCACCGTGTTCAGGCAGCTTAGCTCGAGATCTCCCAGCGTGTTACTAACACAAGTATCAGTTCGATCCTTGTCTTTTGTATGCTCTCATCGGAACAGTGGAACCTGTTCATTGATAGCTAAACGTTGAGCTACATTCTGTGGTAGCAGCACGTCTCGGCGCCGCATCTCCTCCCTCCTTCTCCATCCCCCCCTCTTCAGTTCTCTCTTGTCAGTTGTTGTTGTTCCATTTGGACACCAGAGGTTCTCTCTTATCACACTACCTGTACTTCCAATCCCTCGAAAGGCAAAGAAGCACTACCTCTGTTTATCAGACACAAATCAACTTCCGCTCGGACGTTGGTGAAAAGACCTGTGTGTTCTCTTTGGAGCTGCGTTTGCTTCACAATTGTACGTATTATCGAGCCTTTTTTTTTCTTCTTGTGGTTTCCTGTCGGACATCATTGCCGCCCTGCATCCCCCGTGTTGTTCTTAAGAGTGTTGAAAACATGGATCTTCTTTCTCCGCGACAATGACCTAGCTGCGGCCGCGGCATCTCCAGTATTCGCACCGTCCGATCACCGCGCGATCAATCTTCCTTTTGCTAATTGACGTGGTGTGTCTGCAGACATGTATTTCACTTGATTCCTCGCAACTGAAAGCCAAGAAGAGAGAAAAAAAAAAGAAACTGTATCTTCCCTCACGCAAACCAAATCAAGAAACTGCCTTGAGAGCAAGAGAGACCGAGTCATAACTAAATCACAATGGCCACTGAGGATGATAACTTCGACATTGACATCTATGGCGACGGCGGGAGCTACAATGCTAACGATCAGGGCGAGGACATCAAGCACGAGGACACGGAACTCATCCTAGACGCGTCGGACGCCACGCAGAACAACAGCGTCGCTCAGGGCGATGGCTCGTCGGATGGAACCCTGAAGCAGGAAAGTGAAGGGGCTGCGCCCAGCAGCACCGCGAGCGTAGCACATGGAGAAGCCGCCCCCCAACAGACCCACGCCCCGGCGCCCCAGCAAGGTTTGAAGCGCAAGGAACACGATGACCGCCCGACGGATCCCGATGCGACGCCTGCCCTTCTCATCTCGGATTTGTACTGGTGGACCACGGATGATGACATTCGCGGCTGGGTGGCTCAGGCCGGCAGCGAGGATGAGTTGAAGGACGTGACTTTCAGCGAGCACAAGGTGAATGGTAAAAGCAAAGGGTAGGCTTGCCTCTCTGACTGGTTTCTCGGGGACGACACTGATACCAAAACTGATTTAGACAAGCATTCGTTGAGTTCACTACCCTCCAGGCGGCCACTGCCGTGAAAC